CATCTTCAGAGACTTGGGTCAATATTGTGTAAGGGTTAGGAACTATTGGGTAGACAGGGACTACTACCTCATTAACTGTCCTCAGGTCTTAAATCTGTATTCCCCATTTTCTTTCTTTACAGACAGGATGGGGGTGTTACATGGGGACTGCCAGGGTTGTAGTAGTCCATACTTTAGAAATTTTGCTATCAGGGGTTGTATGACCGATTGTGCTTCAGGTCTCATGGATATTGTTTCTTCCATGGGTAACCAATATTGGGCTTCAAGGTAACCTGGACTGAGGGTACATTAACAGCTCTACCAGCAACTTCTGTTTCCCAGAGGGGTCTACTTGAGAAGTAACATGCAGTGGAAGCGAGGTCTTTTATTTATCTGTCTGTATTAAGTTATGCACTTAGAGCCCTTCGTGGCCTATTGCCTTATCATAAGGCTCCTCAAATTGAACTGTGGCCTGTAATTGGGAATGTAAGTCTCTTCCCAGTAAAGACATAGGGCACTCAGGTTTAAAACCTATGGTCCCGCACATTGTAACCAAGGCAGTGGGTGAATCTCCTAATTCTTGGACATTAATCTCTGTTATGGTATAAGAGCAGGAAGACACTGGCCCTGAGAAATGGGTCAGAACTCTTACCCAATAAGAACTGTCTTCTTACCTACCAAATCAGGAGTTAGCCAAGGCTCCTCTGTGGAGATGGCAAGATGTCCAGTGGAAACCATGGAGGACTTCGGGCCCATTCAATCCTCTGTTCTCTCAGCCTTTATGAGGGTGGGTGGCCGAGGCTTTTTCCAGAGCATGAGGAAGTCCCTTTCCCAATGGCCCTCTTGCTTACAGAAAACACACTGGCCCAGGGGACAGCAAGTCAGGGACTCTCACCTGGACATTCCAGAGGCCGATTTCGTGACACTTTCTCAGAATGGGTAATCCTGAGGTGGCACGGAGTTTAAGACAGCCACTAACAATTGTGCTTTTTGGCTATTTCTTTGGATTTTCTTCACCTCCTCTGCCTTGCCCCTATTGTTGTCTACTCCAAAGGCCGTGTTTAAGAGTTGGCTCTTGGGTGTTTGAGGTCCCATTTCTGCCTTTTGTAGTTTCCTCCTAAGTCAAGGGCAGATCCAGTAATAAAATGCACACCTACGAGAGCTTGCCCTTCCCAGGAGTCTGGTCTGCATTAGTATATTTCCTGAGTGCCTCAGCCATACTGTCCTGAAACAGAGCAGAATGTTCTTCTTTCCCCGAGTTACTTCTGTAACCTCGTCATAACTGGCTTAACCATACACTTTTCCATACCTTCTCTTAAATAAGTTACCATGTGATTTCTGCATTTGAAATCTTGGGAACCCCTCTGGCAATCTCACTGAGGTCCAGGTCTGGAACTGCATCTCCCTCCACGTGATAAATGGCATGGCTTTTGTTTCAAGCAGTTACTCCATCTGCGTATTCATGGGCAGTACCCAGAATCCTTTGTTTCTAATGGTACAGCAGGTGGACAATAATATTTGCAAGTCTTGTCAAGTTAAGTCAAAGTATATGGTCAATTTAACAAACTCCTCTGTAAACTTCCCTGGATCCTCCAAAAATGGGCCAAATTTCTCCTTGCATAAATCCAATCAGACACAAAAGGAGGCACATGTACTCTGATTGTTCCCCTATATCTGTCAGCTACCTCTTGCAATGGACACAGGTTCAATTTTAGGGGCTGATATGGGGCCTCACTCCTGGTGGTACTGGTTGGGCTTATTTCCTCAAGCAGCAGGGGGTATAGGTTGGGCCTAACTGGCTAAGCGGGAGGGATGTCTGATGACCTTAGGTGAAATCCTGTACTGGAGAACTAGTGGACTCCCCTCAGAATCAGGGAACTGAGGAGGCTCCAGGGGGCATGTGGGCCTCCTAGGGAGAGCATCTAGGAGGGTATCATCTAGGAAGTGCAGCTTCTTGGTATCTGGAAGTAACATGAGCCAGACACATCCTGCAGCTCTCCCTTAAGTGAGGGTTCTGTTTAAGGGCTGTAAACACCTGTACATAAGGGCCTCGTCCATTTTCCTTCCTTTTCACAGAATAAGTCCAACTGTAAAATAGTATTATAATGTAAAGAACCATTTTTAGGCCAAATTTCTTGGTTTTCCAATTTGTAGTGGACCCAAATGGTATTGCAGCAGGAAATGAATTTCTTTCTCTTGAAGCTGTCAATATGAATTTGCTCCAATTGCCTAAAAGGCACCCTAGTGGTGAGTTTTTCGGGATGCTCACCGTGTCCCGTGTCTAATGAGGATCTCTACAGAAGTTTCTCTAAGTCTAGTGAGAGCCCAGTTATTTTCCCTTTTAAATTCTCACCTTTTTTTCTCAAGAAAGGTCAGTGGGGAAGTTGTCACCAGTTCCTGCAAAGAGGGTGTAAGTACAGTTAGCAGGGTGTGATGAAAGTGAATTATGAGATATGAGTGAGCAGTAGAGTGATGACTGCATCCACTGGCAAATGGAATACAAGAAAAGAGGTGTTGTAATAAGCAAAGTATAGAAGGAGAGGTGAAAATAGGGTGACAGCAAAAAAGAATGAGTTCCTCTCCTTTGCATGAATGAAGCTGGAAACCATCATTCTCAGCGAACTAACACAGGAATGGACAACCAAACACCTCATGTTCTTACTCATAAGTGGGAGTTGAACAATAAGAACACATAGACACAGGTAGGGGAACATAACAAACCAGGGCCTGTTGGGGGTTGGGGGGAAAGGGGAGGGAGAACATTAGGAAAAATACCTAATGCATGTGGGGCTTTAAACCTAGATGATGGGTTGATGGATGCAGCAAACCAGATGGCACATGTATACCTATGTAACAAACTGCACGTTCTGCACATGTATCCCAGAACTTAAAGTAAAAATAAAAAATAAAAAATGATAGTTGAGAAAATATGGGATAGAAATCAGTAATTTGTGCCAATAAAATTTTAGTTTTTTTAACCCCCACCCCCAAAAATAGGTGACAGGATTCTCATAGTCTGAATTCCACAAAAGGGAAGAAAGCATTTTGGTTGAGGAAAAAGAGGGACTAGAGGAGGCCGCTGAAAATGGTGATATGACAAAGACCAAGACTGCCCATAGGGTGGGACTCTAACCCACAATCCAGAGGGAATGTAAAAAATCCAGAGTGCAATGAGGGACCTCTCAAAATAACAAAAGAAACAAAAAGGCCTGAATAGAAACAATCGTCTGAATAGGAGGGTGAACAAAGGGGACACTCTCCCATCCATGAAGGCCAAATGGTGCCACTTGGTCTTAATTTGGGGTTCAGGTAAATGTCTCCCTCAGATCCCTTCAGCTCGTTAGTCCTTCATTTATTGGTCCCTTTGTAGTCACCAGGAAAGATGATGCAGATGACCCCCCAACTGTGGCTCAGCCTGGGAAGTTTCTTGGTTTTGTGCCAGAAAGAATTCAGAACAAACGAAGTAAATTTATTAGAGCAACAAAGGACAAGAAAATGGCTTTTCCATAGACAGAGCAAGGTTTTCCATAGGCAGAGTAGTGCTCGTTGCTTGCTGGCTAGGTATATTTATAGCTACTCCTTAATTATGGTAAGTAGTGGGTGGTTATTCACGAAGTTTCTGGAAAAGAGGTGGAGAGTTTCCAGAACCTAGGGTTCCTCCTATTTTAAACCATATAAAGTAACTTCTGGGCATTGCCATGGCATTTATAAACTGTCAGGGCACTGTTGGGAGTGTCTTTTAGCATGCCAATGCTTTATAGTTAGAGTATAATGAGCAACGAGAGTGACTAGAAGTCACTTTCATTGCCATCTTGGTTTTAGCTGATTTCAGTCCGTTTCTTTACTGCATCCTGCTTTGACCAGCAGGGTTGTGACTGGTGCTCTGAAAGCAAGTCCTGCTGATCCACCTCAATTCCAGAAAGTACACATATTTTAAAACATCATGTTGTACATGATAAATATATGCAATTTTATCTGTCAGATAAAATGCTAAAAAAAGAAATTCACTGCTTCCAATACATATAAAACATAAAGTGAGTGCTTAGGTCAGGACTTTATTCACAGAAAGTGCTTAATAAAAATTAGTTATAATCATTATCACAATTGGCATTATTCTTGTTTTTATATTATCTTATTTCTCATTCTGTTTTTCTTGGGAACTACAACTACATTTTAAAAAATTGTACTTTAAGTTCTGGGATACATGTGCAGAATGTGCAGGTCTGTTACATAGGTATACATGTGCCATGGTGGTTTGCTGCACTCATCAACCCGTCATCTACATTAGGTATTTCTCCTAATGCTATCCCTCCCCTAGCTCCCCGCCCCCCAACAGGCCCCAGTGTGTGATGTTCCTCTCCCTGTGTCCATGTGTTCTCATCATTCAACTCCCACTTATGGGTGAAAACATGCGGTGTTTGGTTTTCTGTTCCTGTGTTAGTTTGCTGAGAATGATGGTTTCCAGCTTCACCCATGTCCCTGCAAAGGACATGAACTCATCCTTTTTTTATGGCTGCATAGTATTCCACGGTGTATATATGCCACATTTTCTTTATCCAGTCTATCACTGATGGGCATTTGGGTTGGTTCCAAGTCTTTGCTGTTGTGAATACTGCCACAATAAACATACGTGTGCATGTGTCTTTATAGTAGCATGATTTATAATCCTTTGGTTATATACCCAGTAATGGGATTGCTGGGTCAAATGATACACAACTACATTTTAAAAGGATACATTTACTTTTAAAAAACGTACTGTTGCTTGCATGTATTTACAAAATAGGCACTGATAGGAAATTATGACAATGCATTTATTTTTAAAAAGGCATTGTATGCAAGATGTGACCTGATATAAAGTCCTGAGAACACAGAAAATGTCCGTATCTGGTGATGTGCAACTCCATGAGTTGGAAATGCTCTCCTGAAAACATGTTTCTGGGCTCTCCCACAGGAACCACGAGCTCAGTACAGAGACAGATCTTCTGGTCCCTGGCACTGACTCTTCTTTCTCCTTCTTTCAGAGGACCAGAACAGGATGGGATCTTTCATTCATCAGAGCTTCTAAACTTAGTTCTGCTCAGGCATCTCCCAGTGGCTCCCACCAGCTCTCTCATTTGTAACTGCAGAGACATTGAAGAGTATTTTCATCTCAGAACAGAAGAGAAAGTAAGTGATGGGATAGACTTTAATTTCCAAAGACCTGGTTGCTGGCTCCAGTAAGTGTCCTAGGTAAGAAAACAACCTACTGTTGTGCTGTCTGTATGTGTAAATGGATGACATTAATGTTAGATTTTGAAATGCAGTGGTCTGAGACAGACACTGAATCCTGCTGTGCCTGTGGGGACTGAAGAAGAGTAGTGATGTTCTTCTTATCGTTTGTCAGGAACTGCAGTTCGCTGCACACCTTAGACTCTGGTGACATCCCTGAAGGGTATTCAGTGTTGGAGCAATTTTTAATACTTTTCAGCTGACTCATGGTTTCAATTTAAATCATTTAATTATCATAATTGAAAAAAAAATGTAATGTTATTTTCCTTTTACTGATGAAGGAACAGGTAGAGAGGTTAAAAGATTTGCTTACATTGATAAGGCTAATTACTGCGGTGACCAGGTGAGAAATCAAGTCTGTTTGATCCAAGGTTCTTAATCCCTAACTTCAAAGCATCTGACTATATCTGAATCTTTTAGCATTTCATTGCATTCATGGTATGGATTCTTTTCTATAATCTAGATTTGTGATCACTGTCATCCAGTTTCATGACACAAACTTCTATGTCTCTGGCAATTTCCTATGACAGCTGTTTAGTTTTCAGAGCTTTCTTTTCCTTTGCTGGCGTCTAAACCTGATTTTAATGTACAGATATTTTTTGCCTTAACTTTATTGTTATTTTTATCAGTTATATTTATCAAATCTATTTCTTTTGCTCCAGTCAATAATACTTTCAATTCTTGCTGGGTGCGGTGGTGCACGCCTGTAATCCCAGCACTTTGGGAGGCCAAGGTGAGTTGATCACCTGAGTTCAGGAGTTTGAGACCAGCCTGGCCAACATGGTGAAACCCCGTCTCTACTAAAAATACAAAAATTAGCTGAGCATGGTGGTGTGCACCTGTAACACCAGCTACTTGGGAGGCTGAGGCATGAGAATCGCTTGAACCCAGGAGGTGGAGGTTGCAGTGAGCTAAGATCATACCACTATACCCTAGCCTGGGTGACAGAGTGAGACTCTGTCTAAAAAAAAAAAAAAAACTTTCAATTCTTTTTGTAGATATTGTATACTATAGAGAATGGACATATAATTTTTTAAAAGTAAGTTTTCATAAAAATGCTCTTTTTAGCCCTTTCATATATAGTTGTTTGTCCTCTTGTAAAATAAAACTTCATTCTAGCTGTAGTGCTGGGTATGAAAGGTGTCAAAAATGTTGCTGTCAATCCGTTTCATACCCACAAGCAGGACAACAATATAAGTTTTGTGAGCCCTTGAAACTTTTGCCCTTGTAAGTTCTTTCCTCCATAAAAAGTATTAAAAGTTGTATTTTATGAGTGTATTGGTATAAAGAGAAATATAATCCAGTTGTACTTAGATTATGTTCATTTTCTTCTTCTTCTTTTAAAGAAATTAAGCATTTCAAGGGCTCCTAAAAGTATCATGGGCTGTTGGCACTACTACTGGGCCTCAATGAATATGTCAGCGCAGCCTACTATATGTCCTCCTAATAAAAATTGATGGAGACAGGATAAGATAATTGACTGTCCCAAGTTTCATCGATCAAGAAATAGAATAACTCTCTATAAAATATCACCAGATATTGTTGCCTAAATGTTTGTGTCATAAGATTTATTTATTATCAGTTTTCATTATGGGCTTCCAGAGCTTCTCAATGACATTTTTCACTTCCTTATTTTTGAGGGTGTAGATTAAAGGGTTCAACATAGGTGTAAATAGGGTGCAAAACACAGTCACAGCTTTGTCAGTGGGGAAGGAGGTTAGAGGTCTTAGATACAGGTATGAACAAGGGACAAAGAATAAGATGACAACAAAGAGATGAGAGGTACAACTAGACAGAGCTTTGTGACGCCCTTCAGAGATATGAGTCCTTAGGGAGCACAGGATGATGACATAGGAAGCAACCAGCATGGAAAAAATGAGGAAACACAATGATCCACTGTTGGCAGCTATCAGAGGCCCCAAGGTGTGAGTGTCTGTGCAGGCCAGCTCTAGAAGAGGTACTAAATCACACATAAAGTGGTCGATGACATTGGGGCCACAGAATGGTAACTGGCTATGAACAAAGTCTGGATCCCTCCATGCACAAATCCCAGAATCCCAGCCACCCCCATCAGGAATCCACACATAGGTTGACTCATGATGGTTGCATAGTGCAAGGGCTTACAGATGGCCACATAGCGGTCGTAGGCCATGACACTTAATAAGATGATCTCAGCTGCCGCAAAGAAATGTTCTGCGAAGAGCTGAGTCATGCAGCCATTGAAGGGTATGGTGTTCTTTTCAGAGATCAAGTCAAAGATCATTTTAGGGGCTATGGAAGAAGAGTAGAAAACATCTCTAATGGACAAACAGGACAGAAAAAAGTACATGGGGGAATCCAGGGCTGGGCTGATGAAGATGATGACTGAGATGAGCAGGTTACCTGCCAATGTGATCAAGTAGGTGATTAAAAACATAATAAACAAGAGTTTCTGCAGTTCTGGATTGTGAGTGAGGCCCAGCAGGATGAATTCTGTTACATTGTTCATGTTTTTCATAGCTCAGGTTGTGTGTATATGGCCGATCTGAAAAAAAAAACCAGTATTTCTGAATGATGATATTTTAAATTCAATACTAAAATATTTCATCACCTCTTTAGTCCTGGTTTTCGGGGGTGATGGAGCTACATTGCCACTCACCTCTGCTGTTTTGCAGAGCTGTAAAGAGGAACAGAAGATTAGATTTCTCCTAATTCATATATTAATGAAATAGTGATAATATCTTACAAGTACCACAATAAAACAAGATCTTGTTATAAATATTGACTTCCAAACTTCCTTTCTGGCTCTAAAATTTCACATACGGCTTTCTTTCATTTTTAGAGAGGACAAATCTTATCAATAACAAATGTTTTGAAATTATACTTTCTTTTGTTAGGGTTATTTATGGGTATATGAATCCAGTATGTATATTAGATACTAAAGTGCAAAGCCTTACTAAATCTAAGCCGCTGTGTTCTGTGATCTGTTGTCCTTTTCTGTCATATAAATGCACATGCACACAGATAGAGACAGAACTGCAAATGGAGATATTTTTCTTTTGGAATGCTGGGTAACTATCGCAATAATAACTCATTGAGGATAATTCATTCAACATCCCTGACTGTTGCATCCATCCCTATAAATGACCCCTTTTTTTCATGCTCACTCTTTCTGCATCTTTAATTGTGGCTATGTAAATGGTGCAAAGTTATAAAATTTAATGATATTTCATAAATACATTTTCTTCTTGGTTGGATTTTTATCACATGTAGAATTATACACTGGATTAGATATATTTCCCCACTCACATCTTAACAAATGGAATTAAATGAGTCATGATGTTTTTCCCTGAGTTTTCTATTGGCAAGACAGAAATGTTAGGGTCACCTGAGATAATGCAGTTTTCTCTTTTGGCATAAGTTTGGTCAATTAAGATGAACTTGTAGTTTTCATTGCTAACTGGTAAACAACTGGAAATTTATATTGCTACCTGAAAACATTGAATATATATAAGAATGTAGATATTTTTGAATAATCCCAAGAGCTTCAAGAGTAAGTACATGTTGTTTCAAAAGAGCGTAAGATATTTCTTCTCCTCCCCCTTTTCTCCTTCTTTCCCTAACCCCTGGCAAAAGTGTAACCACATAATTTTCCTCAAAAATTTCTAGAAACAGAAATCAGTCAGCATCATGACCTCTGAACTTAATTAAAGGTGAGTAAAAATATCTTTGGTTTTCAGGAAAACTCAGTTGCTAAGTTGCTTCCTCTTTATTCATGGCTTCTGTAGATGGTGACTATATGGTTAATCATTCTTAATGGATTTAATTCACCAATTCTAACTTCAATGTAGCAATATGGAAGTCACAAAAAGGGGAAAAACATTTCAAGCATGACAAACAGATATCTACAGAATCAGTGCATTCAGTGAGACATAAATGTTAACCATAATGTTTTAAAAGTGACTTCAGTAGTTCTTAGCAGCATCTGGTCTGGCAACTTTTTTTTTTTTGAGACGGAGTTTCGCTCTGTGGCCCAGGCTGGAGTGCCGTGGCATGATCTCGGCTCACTGCAAGCTCTGCCTCCTGGGTTCATGCCATTCTCCTGCCTCAGCCTCCCAAGTAGCTGGGACTACAGGCGCCCACCATCGTGCCCGGCTAATTTTTTTTGTATTTTTAGTAGAGACGGGGTTTCACCGTGTTAGCCAGGATGGTCTTGATCTCCTGACCTCGTGATCCACCTGCCTCGGTCTCCCAAAGTGCTGGGATTACAGGCGTGAGCCACCGCGCCCGGCCTGGTCTGGCCACATTATGCATAGACTTTTCTGTTGATATTTTTATGTCAGTGTGTCCAAATTCATTTTCAGAGAAAAATACTAAACTTTAAGTCGGGTATGTAATGACAAAGACTACTTCACTGAAAACAAATTGGCTAAAACAAGTTAATCTGCTTAAAATTTGGGAGAAAAGATTTAGTTTTCACTGACCTGGATCTAGCTGATTGTGGATTCCTCCATTTTAGATTGAGTGCGGTCACTGCTTTCTTCTCCTGCAGGTGTGGAACACGGCCACAAATAGACTCTACCAGCTGACAAGTGGGATGTTGGAATTCTCTAGATGGCTCTCTCAATTCTGACGTTTCAGTTTATTTTGCTTTCCATTGTCAGTCTGAATTTACTAAGAAAAGCTGTTTCAGTTAGAAAACTTCATTATCTCTAGGATTTAGTGTCTACTCACTTCCTGGGTTTCCTATGAATGTATAAGCCAATCTTCGAAATATATCTGTTTTTCAGATCTCTTAGGACTATATTCAGTCCAAATTAAAAACTAGGAATAATGCAAAATTCTTCAAATTTGGAAAATGCAACTATAAAATGAATAAGTGAATCAAATCCACCTGATTGGATATTGTTTTC